TTCCCCTAGAGCAGCTTGCTCCAAGCCCCTGTATCCAACCTGGCCTTGAGCACTGCCAGGGATGGGGCAGCCACAGCTTCTCTGGGCACCCTGTGCCAGCGCCTCAGCACCCTCACAGTAAAGAGCTCTTCCCTTATATTTAACCTGAACTTCCTCTGTTTCAGTTTGAACCCATCACTCCTTGTCCTATCACTCCAGTCCCTGATGAAGAGTCCCTCTCCAGCATCCTTGCAGCCCCCTTCAGACACTGGAAGCTGCTCTGAGGTCTCCACACAGCTTCTCTTCTCCAGGCTGCACAGCCCCAGTGTTCTCAGCCTGTCTAAAGATGCACATACCCTGTGCTGACAGGACCTGGCCACCTCACCCCTTCCCTGTGCATCCTTTTTCACCTCCACCATGAGGCCCATCTCACTCGGGCAGGTCCCAGGCTCCAGGCCCACAACAGCAGCAGGGCTTGGGCACAGAGCCCAGCCGACAAGTGAATCAGTCTCGCTGCTGCTCTGCAGCATGGCCTTTTCCTGCCCTCTGCTCTCCACCTCTGGTAGCTCTGATGCTGCAGCAGCACAGCCCAACCGCATCCACATCCATTGAGACCATGGGAACCCTTGGTCAGGCAGAGGCTGGGCTCCCCTGTTCCATCTCACCGTGCTTCCTGCAGCCACCGGCAGCAGCAGAGGGGCTCCTTCCTGCCAGGCAGGGCTTGGGAATGACCTTTCTGAATCACAGCAGATGGCAGGAGGCAGCTCCTGGCCCTTGTCTTACACAAGAGGAGCTCCTGCCGCAGACACCTTTGCTTCTGCAGGGACCCCAAGCCCTGACAACTGCCAAAGCAGCTGCAAGAGCAGCAGCAGCTCCTCAGGAGAGCTTGATGAAGACAGAAACCCCATGAGTTTGAACTGGGAAAAGGGCTGAGAACGGCCTTTTCCTTCTAAGGGCTTTAGAAGCACACCTACAAGGTACAGGCTCGAAAGGACAGTGAGGGCAGACAACGGCTGGCCGGGATCTGAGCAGCCCTGCAATTTTAAACCATTACTCAAGGCCACAGCTATCAGCATTGCCGGGGACACGAGTTATGTCCCTTCATGGAGTGACCGAACCGCACCACCCAGCACAAGGCTCCACAGGCCCTGGCACGGGGCGAGCTCAGGGCTCGGGCATGGGTTGAGTTACAGGCTCTATTTTGCCACCCTCTTGCTGGGCAGACGTAACCCAATCCCCCCAGCAGCCTCAGCCTTTTCACCAAGTCATTGTTACAAAGTCCTTTTGCCCTCTGGTTCGTAATGAACGCGTTCGGACATGAGCGTGCCTGGTAAAGGGCTTCCTCTCCCTCGGTGTGAGCCCCCCACAGACCCCAACCCACCCCCCTGCTAAAGCAATGGCTTTATTTCACGCTTCAGAGCCTCTCAGCGAGGAGAACCTCAGCTCTGGAGCTAGGAACAGCAAGCGAGAACCTCAGCTACGAGCCACCGTTTGTCCTAGTGAAGCAGCACGTTAACACGGAGCCAAGGGGGGAAAGGGGCTTTGGCTGTGACCCCCCCCCCGGCAGACACAGCCCACCCTGCGGGGCTTAACGTGGCTTATTCTGCCGTGGCCGCTCAGCACAAGGACCCAGCACCCCCCCACGCTCCCCAGCGCCCGCAGCTTTGTCCCGGCCCGGCCGCTGCCGCCCTGCCCGCAGCCCCACACGGCCGGAGGGACAGAGAAGTGTGTCTGGGCACCGGGGGGCTGCCGGAGGGGCGGGAAGCGGCTCCCACAGCACCGGGGGATGGAGAAGAGGCGAGCGGGAGGCGCTGAGTCCGGGTACAGCCCCCCCTCACCGAGCGAGGCCGCGGTCCCTTTAAGAGGCCTAGCAGGCGCTCGGGGCCCGCCGCCCCGCTGACCGCGCCCGGCCGGTTGTCGGTCCCTCCCGCTCCACTACCGCCCGGTGCCCGGTGCCCACTGCCCGGTGCCCTGTGCCGGCCCCGCCGCCGGGCTCACCCCGCTGTCGGCCGCCTCCTCCCAGCTCTCGGCGACCTCCTCATCTTCCATTTTAATTGCCCTCCGCCGCCGCCAGCCGCGCACCGCGCATGCGCGCCCCCGCCGCGAGCGCCCCGGGGAGAGGTGAGGCTGGCGGCGCGTGCGCTGGGAGCCGCTGCAGGCGAGCACGTGCGGCCGGGCGGCGGGGGCAGGAGAAGAGGCGGCGCGCCAGCGCCCCCTGGCGGCCGGGAGGACCTGTGTCGATCTAGGGGCACTCGAGGTTTTGGGGTGGTTTCCCTTCCTTTAGCCATTCTCATCCAGTCCCACAACCCGTCTGGCCTTCCCACCGCTGCTCCATTAACACCTCAGCTACTCCCCAGTGTTCAGTCCCAACCCTTAAACCCAAAATAAAACGTCATTTATTCATTTCCTCTTGTTTCTTGCCACGACAGACACAACTGCATTCACTTTTGGAGTGTCTCCAGGGTAAGGATTGTGTCTCATTGCCCCATTCCAGCAGCCTAAAAAAACAATAAATCAATCAATAAACCCCACCAAAATCGATAAATCAACCAATACACCCCAAAAATTGATAAATCAATCAATAACCCCCCCAAATCTAGAAATCAATCAATAAGCCCTAAAAAAATCAATGAATCAATCAATAAACCCCCAAAAATCAATAAATTAATCAATAAACCCTCCCAAATCGATAAATCAACCAATACACCCCAAAAATCGATAAATCAATCAATAAACCCCCGCAATCTATAAATCAATCAATAAGCCCTAAAAAAATAATGAATCAATCAATAACACCCCAAAATCTATAAATCAATCAATAAGCCCTAAAAAAAATCAATGAATCCATCAATAAACCCCCAAAATCAATAAATCCATCAATAAATTCACTTTTTGCATGGGTGCTACAGAACCTGCCCCAAAATCCTTCCTTCTGCCCCCAAACGCTGCAGTTGCACTCATGGGTGTTCATGTCCTTGCAGCGTGCGGTGACCCAAGGGGTTTATCGGCTCTTCAATAGCTGCATTTACAGGGCCTGCACAAGGCACGGCTTTCCCGGTGCTTCCTTCTTCTCTTTGCCTTGGAAGTGCCCTTGAGCTCGGCTCCACTCGGGATGGGATCAGGCTGCTCGGGATGGATGTTTCCCGGTGGATGCAGGAGCGCTGTGGGATGGATCCGGCTGCAGGACAGCCCTGCTCGCTTCACGCTGGTTTTCCCTGTGTCAGGAATTGGTGGAATTCCTTGCTGTGTCACTGCTGGCCACTGGAAGCAGAGGGCAGGAGCTGCTCCATCCTGCACAGCACCAAGCAGGTCCTGTGCCATGGAACCCAGTGCCCGCAGCCAGCGCTGCAGAGAGGAATCCCACTTCTCCCATGGCAGCATGGAGCCCAGGATGGGATGTGGCTGACCTGCTGCTGAGGCCTTCAATAGGAAGGAAGAGCTTGGTCAGGACAAGTCCTGGGTGTCCCCATGGATCTGAGCTCTGCTGGGAGCCTGGCTCCCATAGGGAAGCTTTGCCCATCCATAGGCAGCCGATGCCGTGTCCTGGTGAGGAGGATGCAGGAAAACCAGCGTGAAGCGAGCAGGGCTGTCCTGCAGCCGGATCCATCCCACAGCGCTCCTGCATCCACCGGGAAACATCCATCCCGAGCAGCCTGATCCCATCCCGAGTGGAGCCGAGCTCAAGGGCACTTCCAAGGCAAAGAGAAGAAGGAAGCACCGGGAAAGCCGTGCCTTGTTCAGGCCCTGTAAATGCAGCTATTGAAGAGCCGATAAACCCCTTGGGTCACCGCACGCTGCAAGGACATGAACAGCCATGAGTGCAACTGCAGCGTTTGGGGGCAAAAGGAAGGATTTGGGGCAGGTTCTGCAGCGCCCATCCAAAAAGTGAATTTATTGATGGATTTATTGATTTTGGGGTTTATTGATTTATTGGGTATTGATTTTTTTACAGTGTATTGATTTATTACTGATTTTTTAGGGTTTATTAAATTATTATTAACATTTAGGGTTTATTGATCAATTTCTTGATTGTTGATTTTTTAAGGTATATTGATTTATTATTGATTTTTTTAGGGTTTACTAATTTATCATTGATTTTTTTAGGGTTTATTGATTCATTGAATATTGTTTTTTTAGGGTTTATTGATTGATTTATTATTGTTTAGGATTTATTGGTTTATTTATTGATTTTTTTTAGGGTTAACTGGTCGATTTATTGGTTGATTTATCGAGGTTTTGGGTTTAGATTGTTTTATCGATTATTGATTTGTTTTGATACGTTGATTTTTTGTAGGGTTTATTGATTATTGTTTAGGGTTTATTGCTTAATTTATTGACATTCATTTTTTTAGGGTTAATAGATTACAAAAAAAAACAAAAATTTATTGACATATTGATTTTTGTAGGGTTTATTGATTATTATTTTTTAGGGTTTATTGGTTGATTTATTGATTTGGGGGCAGTTATTGGTTGATTTATTTATTGATTAATTTTTTTTTAGGTTTTACTGGTGTATTGATTTTTTGTAGGGTTTATTTATTGATTCATTGATTTTTAGGCGGCTTTAATGGGGCAATGAGACACAACCCTCACCTCTGTATCCCTCAGGACCTCAAGTAACACCGCTGAAGTGCAAAGAGCAAAGCTGCTTCCCTCGCTGCTGCTTTCCCCCTCGGCCTCCACACCACAGCTTCCATCATACCCAGCCCCACATGACCGCTTCCTAACGGCTGGGGCACTGAACCGGCGACCCGGCTGTGCCTCCCCGAGCAGTGGCCGGCGAGGGAGCCCGGAAAGCCGCAAAGCCCTCCCCGTACGGTCGGGGAGGAGCAGGAGCCGCCCCACCGCCTTCTCCATAGAGCGACCTCCCTAACATGGCGCCTTCTCCTCAGCGCGACCTCCCCAACATGGCGCCCGCGCCTCTCCCGCCACGACGGGACCTCCCCAACATGGCGTCCTCCCCTGCCACAGGAAGGCGGGCGGGCGCGACTTGACCTTCCCGTCATGGCGCCTCTCCTCGCGTCATTACGTGAGGCGAAGCCGCCTGCGCGGTGCGCTCTGGAGCGGCGGTTGGCGGCGGACGGGAGGGAGGGGAGGAAGATGGCGGCGCCGGTTCGAGCCGTCACCCGGGCGACGCGGCGGACCCGGTGCCGGCAGCCCTGAGGGCCCGGCCTGGCTGCGGCGGGCGAAGGGAGGTGAGCGGCGGGCTCCGTGGGGCGGGTATTGACCCTTGCCCGGGGGGCTGCGGCGGCGGGCAGGCCGAGCCCGGAGGGGGCCACGGCGAAGGGGCCGAGCCCCTGTTCCCCCGGGTTAGGGGGTGCTGCGTCCGGCCCCCGAGGGCTGCTCGCCCCATTGAGGGGGGGAAGCGCGTTCCCTGCCCGGCAGGAGAGGGGAACGCAGCCTCAGGTCTTGTTACTGCTGGGGAGAGGTAAAACCTGCCCTTTCTCTAAAAAACCTTGCATTTCCCCCCAAAAGCAGCGTGGGAGCTGCGGGCTGGGGGGCTGAGGTGTCCCCAGCCCCACAGGCGGCTCCTCCGTGTATAAAGACAAAGGTGAAGCTCAGCCTCTGCTTGTTCCCCGTTACCGAAGCCACATCTCGCGTTCGTGCCGTGTGTGCTGCTCGCCCTGCGCTTGTTTTGGTCCTCAGAGCCCTTGCATTGAAGCGATGAGGTTGGGTCCTTCCTCGCCATTGTCTTCGGTGCTGATCTGCGGTGGGCGAGGAGAGAACGGCTTCATTTAGTGGTGTTTCCCTTGTCGCGCCGGGGCTGGGCTGGGCAGGCACTGCAGGGGCTCGGCAGCATTAGCTCATGCTGTGCAGCCCTCTCTTCTCCTTCGGAGCCCGTTTGGGTTTCCAGATGGAGCAGGGCGTTTGTTAGGAGCCTTGGAATCGTGCTCTTGATAACCTAAAGTCTCATTCATGTTTGGGGGGGGTGATGGTGGAAGAACAAAAGAGAAGCGGGATGAAGTGCTGGGCTGCGCTGTGCTGGGTCGGGTCGGTACATGGGGATACCCGACTGAGCAGCAGGGATGGTGCTGGGGTTCAAATGGGGTTTAGTCCTCAGTGGGGAGCCTGGCTCGGGCTGCAGCTCAGCAGCTGGGAGCCCTCCCCTCTCCTGAAAGGAGCATGCATTACAATCCATCACCCTGGAGCTTACACCCCTAACCTGGTGGCAGGATGCCTTTACCCATCCTCTGCCTCCTGAAGCCCCAGGTCCGTGATGCTGATGCAGGGTTTGATATCACAGCGCAGCAGTTGCAGCCTGGGCTTGGCCTTGCTGAAGAGCCAAACCTCGGGGCTGGGTGGTTAATTCAGGAGTTAAGGGACTCGCTGTTATTCCCACATTTCCGTAGCCCTGCGTGTTCCCACCGTCTCCCCTTCCTTTTTCCTTACACTTGTGCCACAGAAAGGCCCAATGCTGCTGGTTGTGTCCCTTGGGTTTGCCTGGGGTCGGTCTTTCCCTGCTGTCACAAGTGGGAGAGGAAAGAGCAGGATCCTGGGCAGGATTCGGGCAAGCAATGAGAGCTGTACCTGCACCGTGTCCAGTCCTCACTGTGTCTTTTGTACCTGCCCGCTCCTCGCAGAGGCAGAACCACATCCAGTGCTTGTTTTCACATAGTGAAGATGTTTGTGCATGTTTTTCCTGCTGTGTTACCTGCTCTTCTCCCTGATGGCTGACTCCACCCAAGCAGCGTGCTTCCCACATTGGGAAGTGAAGCTCTTGGGTTTGACAGGATTTCACTGCTCCTCTCGTCGGCTTTCCAAGCACTGTGTGTGATTTCCAGTTGTGATCCGAGTTCCCTCCGGAGCAGCCACACCAGCACTGGGATGAAGGGGATGGGCCTTTCTCCCTGTGTTCCCAGCACACAACTGGTTTGTAAAGGTCTCAGCAGGGCTTCAAAGCAGCCTGGGGGTTTGGCAGCTTTGCCCGCTGCCCGTTCCAGCCGCTTCCACAGGATGTGAGTGAGGGCTGCTGGAAAAGGCTTCCCACTCTCTGTGTAAATAGAGCTGCTCCTCGGAGGGAAGCTCTTTCCCTGTGTATTTAGGCCTGTCAAGCTTTGTTGAGAAACACTGAGCCAGGCTTTGCCCTCACAAATTGTCCTTAAGGTTGGATGTAAATAAGCTGCAAGCCCTTGTCTTTGAACTGCAGCATCGCATGGGGATGTCTGAGAGGGCTTCTGAAAGGTGTCAGAGGCAGAGAGGCTCGGATCTGGTCCATATCTATATAAAACCCTGTGAAAAGAGGACAAGTGGCCCTGATAATGTGCTCAATGGGTGCTTCTCCAGGTTGGAGCTCCTTTTGAGTGTGTTTTCTGACCTGAGTGGGGCCATCTGCAGTTGGTGACATCCCCGGGAGCTGCATCGAGGTATCTGGGTTGTGCTGCCATTAACAGCTAATGCAGCTTTTGAGGTAGTGTAGATATTCAGGTCAAAATCCCTTTTCAACTTGCTTGTGCCTTAGATTAAAGGAGAGCAGGGTGACGCATCCGAATGGAACACTGTTGGGCAACAGCAAACAGGGCTCCTGCCTTCGGGAGTCTGCTCTCAGGAGCTGCAGATGTTCTCCTAGAGCTTTGCTTCCATCCACACTGGACCATGCTGTGGTCTCTGTTTGCTTCCTCAGTTCTATGGTATTTGTCTTTGCCTGCTGAACACCTACTGAAATGTTTGTTTTCCCCCTATCTAGTCCAGTCTAGGCAACATTTGCAGCTCATGTGCTCTCTCTCTTCAGTTTCAGACTCCTTTTGAAACACTTGTCTGGCTTATTTGTCCTGTGCTTGTGCATGTTTTGTAGCAGTGTGGGCCTCTGAAGGCTGAAGGCGAGGTGGCAGAGCTGCTTCAGTTGCTTTGGGGCTTCTCAGGAGGTTCATATTGATGAGGTGTGGGGATGCTCCCTTCCACTGCCAGCCTTGTCCAACCTCTGATCAGTAGTGACAGCCCCATCAGGGCTTCGAGATGCATTTAGGGGTCCCCCAGCTCTCCAGAGCAAGTTGTGTTTGGTGCAGAGATGCTTTGATTTGAGTTGGTTGGAAGGGATGGTGTTAGGAGGTGTTCTGCCGCCCTGGGTCAGGGGTGAGACCAAGGGGCTGTCACTGAATGCTGAAGATCATTACCCAAAATACATGTTAACCTTAACAAACCCCGTATTTTGTGATGCCAACCCCTTTGGTGCTGTTATCCTCACAGTGAGCTTCCAGGGAAGAGGCAGAGCGTGCCCAGGGTACTGAGCCTGTCCAAAAAGCACAGCTCTGCACAAGTCAAGCACTTCCAGTGAATCTCTCTTTCTCTTGTCACTGCTGTCAGCTGCACATGGGCTCCTCCTGCCACTGTGTGAAGGCACCTGCCCAAAACACCTTAAGAAACCCAAAAGCAGCTACTTTATGCCATTGTTGTCACATCCATCCTGCAGTTACTGAGCTCCAGGAGCCACCACCTTCCCTCTGCCCTGTGGAACATGTTCTCTTCCTGCATTTGTTTTTAGGCAGCTGTTTTCTTTCCCCATCACAACTCCATCAAACCTCCTGGACCTTCAGTGTTCAAAGCAGTGGTGACCTGTTCTGCAGACAGGGACATGGGGGATGCTTCAGCCTGCTCTGAACCTGGCTTTTGGATGCTGTGATGTCCTGGAGTTTCATGCTGTGTGACGATGTGCTCGGTGTGAGGCCAGGCTGTGGTTATCAGTTCGAAAGGGGTGCCCTTGGGTGGCAGAGGTGCTCTCAATTTCCCTTAATTTTTATTTGCTTATGAACATAACGTGGATTTGACTTATATTTTGGGGTCTTCTCTTTCTTAGTATTGTATATCTGGTAGCTTGAAGCCTCCCTAAAGAGCTAGACATGAGATATGACATGTAGGACAGAAAGAGCTGCTTTCCCCATGGTGATGCATCCCTGACTGGCAGTGCTTTTGCTCCTCAGAACATCACCTTTATCATTAGCTAGGGAATAAAAGAAAAGCCTATAAAAAGAGAAGCCAATTCCCAGCCTGTGTGGAAATGGCAGCGAATCCTCCTCCAGCCTGTAGGGTGGCTCAGAAAATGTGTTTTACATGGAATTTCTGGGTTGTGTTTCCCTGGAGGGGGCTCAGTTGCTTGGTGGGGTTGTTGATGCTGTTTGTAGCCCCTCGCACTGAGTGCATGGCTCTTCCTTGGGGCTTTTCCCCTATTTCCCTGTCCCTTGAAGCCTCCGAGGGGACACAGAGCAGTCCTCCCTGTTCTGTAATAACAGGGTTGCAGTTGCCACCACCCTGCAGGCTGTTTTGCAAGCTCGTATCACCGAAGAGGAAAGTATTTCTCCTTCCCTCCCCATCTGCTTTACCTCCCTAACGTCTTAAAGGAATCCTCTGCTCCTGCCAGCACTGCACTGACAGGGACTGCAGGAGACTGCCAGTGGCTCTGATGGGGTTTGGGTGATGAGGAGACCACGCTGCCACAGCCAGACCCGTGTCTGCCTCTTACCCAGGCTCTGGTGATGCCCTTCGCTGACATCTCATGCATGCAGAGCCTGAGGCACCGCTCTTCTCTCCATCCAGTGTGACAAAGGGGTATGTACGTAGGCTCGGATCGCAGAGACTGAGGGGTGCTGGCCCTCCCTAGTTGGTCCCTTATGCTAACAAACCCCACTGATGGGCTGGGCATGCTCTGGGTGAGCTCTCTTCACGGCTGTCAAGGCAAGCACTTAAATCTGTGCCTGCTTTTCAGACATCTTCCTCTCTTCCCCATCACCTGTTTCTCTTTGATCAGCCTATCGTTTCCAGCTCAAACCCAGAGCGCTTGGTGCTGTGTTCACCTGAACTGGGGGAGGAGGTGGCCCCATTTCTTCAGCACAGGTCAGGGAGCTGGGATGCTCTATTGTAATCCCAGTGCTGCCCAGGGCTTGTTTGACCTCAGCTTCTCGGTGCTTCTGTGCCTATGAAATGGGGTTAATCACCACGAGCCCGGCACTGGGACACCCGGTTCTGCGCTTGTGCCATGTGTGAAGGTGTTGGAAGCTGTATCAGGCAGGTGGGTGCTCTGTGGCCAGAGGGGGTTCTGTCTGGGTGTGGATCTATCCATAGAAACTCCTTTTTTCCCACCATTGAGAGAGAGACAGAATGCTTTCTGTATTGTTGCAATTGCTGTTTAAACAGCTCTGCCCTTCAGTTCTCTGTGGGCTGATCCAGCCTTGCTCCTGGGCAATATTTGCTAGATGGTTAACTC